ATAAGGGGTTTTTTTTTTTGAAGGGATTTTTTTTTTGGGAAAAAAAAAAAAAAATTTGGGGGGGTTTGGGAAAAAATTGTGTTGTTGGGGGTTTTTTTTTGGGGGGGGGGGGGGGGGGGTTTTTTGGGGGGGGGGGGGGGGGGGGGGGGAAGGCGCGCACTGGTGGAACATGACAAAGGCATATGCTTGGCGTGGGATACGCCCCGTTTAGAGAAGCGTAGGGTACAGCCGCCAACAAGAAGTTTCCGCACAACTCCGCCTCACACTCGACCATCTCTCGGTCAAAAACACCAAAAAACACTTCCCATTCCATCAGCCTCTCAAAGCACCAACAAACAAAACCAAAAACAACAGCAGTGACACAAGCACCAAACCCTTCCGGTTCCGTCGCCCGCTCACGAGAAACAAAAAAGAACAGCAGCAACCAATACCCCGGAAAAAAAAACTCACGTGAGAGCGAGCGAGTCGTCCTCCTCGTAGAAAAAGATGGTGTACGGGATGATGAACAGGGCGAAGATAAATATGAGCATGAACACTATGTACCACGCCGGGGCCATGTCGAGAGACCCGCAGAAGTTCCTGCTCCAAGCCCGGTCCCATTGGACGTTTCCGGAACCCTTCGCCGGGTCGTTTGGCAAGAGTATGACGCCCAATTCCGCTAGGGTAAAGGACCCCCAGTTTTTTTGGTTCGGGGGGGGGGGGGGGGGCGCCGCAGAAGAATCAGGAAACAAACAGAGTTAAAACAGAGGAACGCGGATATTTGCAGGCCTCCGCATTTCGTGGTTTTCTACAGGAAAAACGCCTTCCTACTCTCCGAAAAACGCCTCCATCAAGACTTCAGGTATGGATAGCAAGTTTCGGCCAATTTTTCATGTACCGGGACAGAGGTTTCGGAGTTATAATTATGGATGTGTGAAACCCATCTGCGGGCCGCACGCTTTCAAAGTGTTGCACCTCTCTGGATCAATGAAGGAAAGGAGACACCAGAGCAGAGGCGTCGTCAGCGTGGCAGCCAAGAAAGAAATCACCGTGCAGATATGCTGCAATACGGGTTTTTCAACGCACCAACGAGATGATACTGATGATGATTGCTTCGGGTGGTTCAGTTCATTCCAAATAACTCAAGATAGATGGGAGTCAAGAGAGCGAAGAAGGAAGCAGACAACAGAGGCAGAGATGATGCCAGAGCATCATCGTCATCATCACGTTAGTTGAAGTGGTCTGGCGAGAGGACGGGCGTGTAAACGACATAGAAACATGCGCATCCCTGGGTGTGGGTACTATAATACTGCTGTTGTATGTAGCCCCGACATGAAATATGCGCGTGTGCGTGGGTGATCTCCCTCCTATTTATTATAGCTGTTTCAAAGCTCTTCTTGGTGCTTGCTGCTGCGTTGTTGTTGTTGTTGTTGTTTTTCTTCACATTAAACTCGTGTCAGTTGCTAATCCCAAAATCTAGCAAAGACTCGGAAATGCTAAAGCCATCTGCGTGCTCCTTATCGACACTCACTGCTGTGCGTTAACGTTGCGAAACTTCGTACACACAGAGATCGGGGTGTGGCCTCTGCTGGTTTTATCCTGCTGTGGGCGTGTGGTGTCCGCCAATGGCAGCTCCCAGGCTCCCGGCTGATGGTGTGTATTGGTCTGTGAACTGGTTGGTTCGACTGCTGTGGTGCCCACAGAAGAAGCGGCGTAGTTGCAAAATTACTCGAAAATAGACAAGACGCCAAGTTAAATGGAGAGATCTGATTGGCGGACGACAAGTTAAATCTGTCCCGGTCGCTTTTCTTGCCGCTTACTTCTATGCGGCTAACCGCAATACTTACCGCCGAAGGAAAGACCAACATGCAAATGTAAATCGTATCGAATGGTCTCATACACAGCCTACCACAGCATCCCCTCTTCTCCCTGACAATCATAACAATCTTGCAACGATCGTTATTGATAACGCACGGCTCGTGCATGCCTCGAACAATGGAAACCCCTCGCAAGGTCCACCAGAACACACCCGGGGGTACCTATTCGTGCTATCATACAGCAGCACACATGTACAGCAGTACAGCAGTACCGCGCATTTTTTTCTACATTAGACTTGATGGATTTCGGTTGAAACAAGGTCGAAAGGCAGAGGGAAGACAGATGAACCAAGCCCCGCGTAGTGAGAAAGAGCGACCGATCTACAGCAGAACGACTTTGGATGCTGGCCGAAACCTTCATGACAGAGGATAGACCCATCCATGTAGGTGCTACACACCACAGCAGCAGATTGATCGGAGTTAAAAATACAAAATTAGTCTACAGCATAAGCCGGTCCTACCGCAGTATCAGCCGGCTTGAAGCCAAACACGCTCATGGCTGCCTACCGCTATTGACTGACCTAGCCAGGGCAGTAAACGTATTGAGAATAATCTTAATCCCCAACAACGGTGTAGGAAAAACGCCTGGCGCAGCAGTGCTGTACATAGCGCCGCCGGCATGTTCAACCGCTTCGTGTTCCGCTGTGCGCTTCTCTTCCGGCTTTGTGTGCACCCTACATTCTGGTACAAGTGTTGTTCCTGCCGAGAATTTTTATCGCCCGAGCGCTCTTCTTCACGGACACACCACAACCAGCAATGCTTCAGGTGGAGACTTGGCCTGTTGCCCTCAAAGGGTAGCTGTATTTGGGGGTACGAACCGAGCACGAAGAAGCTCGACCGGCTTGATGGCTGGTAAAAAGAACATTAAAACACAAGAACGTTGCAACCAAGCCGTTCCTTTCTTGGGTGCTGGGGTGTTTTTTCGTTTCTTCGGGCGCGTGGAAATCCGTATTCCTCCACCCACAGCTAAGTCGACAGCGCTTACACAGGAGCAGCACGCAAAGGGGTTTAGCAACACAGACCCAGGCGATAGGTGTACTCACGACCACGGCTTTGGGGAAGTAGGCCTCATTCTTGTCATCGGGGTGCTGCCATATCACGATGATGTACGAGTTGACCGCGAGCAGGATGAAGAGGGCAGCAAAGAGCACAACATAAAGCCACCAGTTCTCCTCGATCCCCAGAGACCCCATGTTCGCCGGACCGGACCGCTTCCGATGCGGCGGTGGTTGCGCGCCAGAGCGTGGGGTGACCCTCGGCCGAGCCTTCGAGGATTATCCTATCGCCTCTGTCTGCCTGTCTGTGTGTCTCTTCGTTCCTGACTGCACTGTTGCCGCCTTGCGCCAAGGGGTGTCGTGGCTGATGAAGGGGTTCCGTCCATAAGCAGCGGAGCCCCCGATGTTGACCCGACCAGGCAACAGAACAGCGCGCGGTGAATCTTTGAATCTTTGCCTGTGAACAGGACGTAGGACAAGAGCTGTGGCGGCTCGCCATCATGTCACGGGCGTCGAGGGATGATCGCGGCGAAAAAGCCTCGCTTGAGAAATCTCAGTCGAAGCTATCATCCTCCAGCGCTTTGCCACAACAAGGTGGTGCGGAGAACCAAACTTGGGAGATGAGCTCCAAGACAAAGATACACCATCATCATCACCGCCGCCTCGGTTCGGACGGCGACGCTCGGCATGGACTGGCGGGTAGAGATAGAAATTTCTCGAGCAGGCTTGGCGAATCTCAGCAACGGGTCGCGAAAACGACGTCCGTCGATCGCCAGCCAAAGCCCCTCGGTCGCCGGTCATCAGATACAGCTCGCACGTCGCCAGGGTCAGCTGGAAAGGAGGCGGGTCATGAAAATAATAGTTGTAGCGATGAGCACCGAAAGCCAAGACGTTCTTCTTCTTCTCCCTCTCGTTCGGCATCCTCGTCAACGGCAGCGATGCCACCTTCTACCTCCGGCGCGGGGTTCTTCGGAAATTTCGACGATTCGCGCTATTGGGACTATGCCTTCAGGCTGACGCAACGGCAAGACATTGGGAATCGATGCAGGGAGTGCAAGGAACCGTTCTTGAAACTGAACGAGGAGATTGCGGTGAGAAGGTCAGTCGGTCAGCCGCGAGTGAGTGAGAGAAGGTATGCAGTCCTTCTGCGAGAGGTTATGTGCACTTTCAAAAAACACAAGTGTCCTATCCCTTTCGACACGCACCGCAGCGGTTGTTTGTGGTGGAGTATAGTCTATGGTTACTGATGATGCACAATGTACACCGACCTTCTTCCCACGCATGCAACAGAGGCTGCGGGAAAAAGCATTTCATTTTCATGGAAGTGTGCGTGCAGCACGATGACCACTAGACCACCAGTCAGCGCTGACTAGTGGTCTAGTGATCATCGTGCTTCTGAACACAATCCAGTCGGTGCGGTTTTCCCGCTGACATTGGGCGCTACAGAGAAGGAGTCGTGTTGGCTAAGGAGATCCAAGTCCCACATACAAAGGCTTCTTTTCTCTTTTCCACGAAATGAGTCCGTTGGAGTGGCCGCCCCCGACGTCGAAAATCGTCATCCTGACGTTCTTTTCGTGCTGCCGGTCTGCCGCTGCTTCAGGGGCGGTCGCATCGAGCTCAGATACCACCGAGAGTGCTTCAGCATGGTAGCCGATCCACGAAGCCAGCCGGCCAGCTCGGCGAACGTAGGGAAGTTTGTCCGTTCGCTCAAGGGCACCACCGCGCCCGAGGAGCTGTATCGGAAGATGCGCACACGCGGTCATTGGTGAGGAACCGAAAACCTGCCCACCCAGCCGGCGCCGCCACCGCCGGAGCTACCACATATATTACTCCCATCTGGCGGAGGGTTTGCTCATTTTACGCACAAGACGTGCGCTGAGTGACTTGGGGCGAGAAGTGCACTGATGATGCCAAAAAAACACGTGGCATTGCACATTCTCTCCCACCATCATCGTGTTTTCATCAACCAGAATGAATGATGGGGCCAGGGACCGTTTTTATGTCCAATTGTGCGATCGATCATCACGCTGATTGTGATTGATGGGGATACACGCCAGTCCCTCTCAGGCGGGTCCGTGCTTCGGACTCAACGGAAAAACGTGGCCAACGGGAAGCTGGCCGTTTCTTCGTCGTCGCCGAGCGCGTCCTTGCCTTTCCACGCACACAAGGAACCGACGGCTACTTCACACTGTTTAGGCCCCATGGCAGCAAAGTGGTAGTTGCCGAGATACATCCTTGTTCGGGAGCCGAACGTCCTCTGTAGGATAAATGCACCAGGGTGGCCCGCGCATGTGGCGGGAACAATGGCGCAGAACTTGCTGCACTCCATCATCCGCCACCACCACAATATTGCGCTCAAGACTGTCCCAGGGACGGACGACGTGTGACAGGTGCGGGCCAACAACAGCGGTGGTGTTCGTCGGAGGGATAGACTAGGCCTACTCGGCAGCCAAGGATAGCGGTCGATGTTGGTTTGTTGTGGTTTGTTGTTGTTGCCTACTATCTGCTGCAGGTGCTGTGTTGAGTTGAGCTTCTCCTTGTTGTTCCACGGACGGACGCATTTGTCAGACACGCAGGCCACAGGGGAAGGCAGCAAACAACGCTGTGCTGCCCTACTGTACGGATTCCTCGAAGGACGTTGTTGTGTGCCACACCATGACCTCTCCACCCTCAACCCGGCCCGTGTGGAATTGAACCGTTACCAGGTTTACGTGTAGTGCACGTATTGCACGCTCTACTTCCGTACAGACACCTCCGCAGGCACCTGCGGGGGTAACTCAACAGTTTCTTCATGGGTTTGGTGGTGGGACACCCACCTGCACGACTGGTCACCTCTCGGTCATCGTCAACGCAGCTGATTGACGTTGTAGAACAAGAATGAGCCGAGTTCGTGGGACCCTTAGTGTGTGTCTGAGAGCCCTTGCTTCTTGACCGAGTCCTTCCTTCGGGTCGGGTGTCTGGCGGAAGGTTTTCACACGTTGCGGTCGCTGCGTCTTGGCTGTATCATACTGAGACTTAGGCGAGGTTGGGTATCTTGCACAATCTAACGCGCAGTGGGCTGAGGAGGTGTTTCGTTTCTCTTCAAGCGCGGTGTTATGGATGGGACATCAGCCAGGGCGGCGCGTGCCGCAATGCTCGCGTTCGCGCACGGGCTACCATGGCATGCCATCGACGTGTGATTCTTGGCCCTTCATACGCCTGTGGACGGTGTGACTCGCCCTCGATTTCTGTGCGAAACTGGTGTTTGTTCGAGTAGCAAATGTGTGGCAAAAATTCCATTATATTAGCTCCTGCCCCATACCCACCACTACCACCAACCAACCGATGACGGCAACACCATCGACGACTATACGCGTCAAGACACAAGGGAAGCTTCGAAACACCTCTCAGTCGACAAAAGCAACATAAACCCTTCTTACATGTCACAAGTCGAAGGCGCATCGTTGCAGCCTTCGGCATTCACAGCAGTAGGTGTACAAGCAGGAGTTCGAGATACACCCATCATCAGCAACCGGTGGTGTGGGTGAAACACGCGCGAGCCACGACTACACAACGAACTGACTACTTTCGCGCCTGTGAAACTCGCTGCTATCGGGAGACCTAGTCGCAGCCGGGTATACGCTGCGGCAATGAGTGGGCTGCGGGAAGACAACGCGACCGGGGGCTTGCAGCACACGCCCATTCCTTCGGCCGCCCGAAAATATGTCTTCGACCGCACCCCGGCCGCGTTTTCTCCCCTACTATACTGTGCTCAATCTCCAAGAACCCGGTGCCCGTACAATCAAACTCCTGTTGTGCCGACGGGTTGCAAGTCTATCATGCCGCACAACATAACACGAAAAATACGATTAAACGCCATACAGGAATGAAAAGGAAACTGACCGGCCTCCTGAAAATCAAGTTTTCAGCAGAAGCCGCCAAGAAACATCAATAAAAACCCAATACACACCAAACATTTTCATTTTTTATCACCGACGACAAGTGCAACGAGAATTCCCGCGAGAAAAGAACGGCCTTCTTGAGGGGAGGGGGAGGGTTCGTTCGAGGGAAAACTTCCACGTATCCCAAGCCGATCCCCTCATACTTGCAGCTATTGGAAATCAACCGGATCCCCTTGCAAGTCAAAACCAAACGGCCAAACAAGACAAAAGAAAAGAAGAACAACCTACGGGATGCACACAACACGTACAATCCACAACGACAGAGAAACACACAAGCGACAAAAAGAAAAAAAACGCGGTGTATTTGTCCCTTATTTACCCGCACAACACCACAACTCTTGCGGCTACACCGCCACAGCTCACGAACCATCTGTACCGCCGGCTCTCTCAAACAACAACCTCCCTCCACGAGAAGGGGTTCCACGTCTGTCTTACAAGAAGGTGCTTCTTCCACGTCTACGAGAAAGCGAACTGGTTCGCCCCTGTCCCGGAGGACTGCTGTCTTGGCCCCGAGTCCACCTCCGTCGGCGCCCCGTGCTTGTCGACCCAGCCCCTCAGGTCGTTCTCGGCGAACTGCTGCGACGGCGGGAAGAGCTCCTCGTCGGCGACGAAGCACTGGAGGATGGTCGTGATCGCCATCCCGTACACGCCGGTCACCATCTTGCCCGTGTAGTACGCCAGCACGGCGGTCATGATGGTCGGGCCCACGAGCGAGTTCAGCTGCGACCGGATGTTCGAGTCCATGGCGACGTACACCCCGAGCGTCGTCACGACGCACACGAACAGCTGGGACGGCGGGCAACCAAGCGAGCGAGATCAGTTGGGTTGGAAAATGAGGCGGTATTCGGGGGGGGGGGGGGGGGGGGCGTACTCTTATGCTTTGCATGCCTTAGCGGTTAGACCATTGACCACGCGTCCTCGAGAGGACGGAGCATTGTTCCCACAGGACCGATCACCGATGGCCAATCGTTCCTTCCTACTTTGCCAAAGGTGGCTCAAAAATGTCTTCCCTAGTTTGTCTATCCTACCGATGTCACTTCCCGCCTTTTCAAACCACTTTCTACTCCCCAGTACCGCTACCGTCCTCTCCTCTCTATTCCATGCCTCAAACATCTCCCTGTACGTCCCTTGTATTCTTCCCAGCTCAGTCATGTACACTTCCCTCTCCTTTTCGTACCACGGACATTCCGCGACTACATCAACACTGTCTTCGCATTCGAAGCCGCAATCGCATTTGAACTTGTCGTCTTCGTCGTCTACCGTCCTATGTCTTCGTCGACGTTCGCGAAGGCCTATGTCCCCGGTCCTGAATTTGACCTTAAGCTTTGTCCCTGCATCCATTGGTCCATGTAGGTAATCCTTGAACCCCATTCCTTCTTTCAACATTCCGTACACTTCTAGACCCTCCTTATCCTTGGATTCTTTCCTTAGATTCTGTTCTTCTCTGTCGGCACAAGCAACAGATATCTTCTTCTTGAACCCCTGTAGACCCTCCGTTTCCAGCGTTTCATCTTCGTCGATGTCCAATCCCTTCCATACGTCCTCTACAACCTTGACCCATTCCGTGGGTTGTCTACCCCTCTTTTTGTTTGCCCACTTCGCCTCCCATACTATTCTCGGCAACCTCTCCTCTCCCATCCCGCACATGCGATACTGCCATGTCAGCTTCCTTACGTCTCTTCCCGACCGTAGGGATTGGATCCCCAATTCTGCCCTGACTGCTGCATTACTTGTGCGCTTGGAGCATCCTAGGATGATTTTCGCTGCTTTCATCTGCGCCGCCTCGAGTTCTTTCACTACCTTCTTATTTCCTTCCCATACTTCTCCGGCGTACTCTAGCGGCGGTACGATTACGCTCTTCAAAACCGTCAGTTTGATGCGTGTATCGAGGTGCCGGTTTGCGAGTATTGGGTGCAGCTTCCCTGCTCGTGCTTTGCCCTTTTCCGCTACCTTGGACATGTGTGCATTCCACGAGCAATCTTTTGCGATCTCTACTCCGAGGTATGTGTACTGGTCCACTACTGCAATCTCCTCCATCCCCCACTTCCATCTATGTTCTACTGGTTCCTTCCTGCCCTCGTTGCATACCATGACGGCACTCTTCGCAACGTTGGCAGACAATCTCCACTTATCAGTAAACTTCTTCGCCCCGTCAATTTGCAGTTGCAGTCCCTCAGGGGTGTCCGACATACCAACAAAGTCATCCGCAAACAGCATTCCTGACACCGAAGTTTCCGTGTCCCCTACTTTTACTCCCTTCCGGACTGCCTCTACGACTTCCAACAGATCGTTGATGAACACCTGGAACAATGTTGGGGACAGCGTGCAACCTTGTGGGACCCCTTGCTCAATGTCGAAGAATTTAGACAGTTCTCCGTCTAGCATGACCGCGCTTTTCGTACACTCTGTCATCTTCTTCAGCACCCTCCACATTTTCCCCTTGATCCCGTACTTGGACAATTGTTTCCACAGCCCATTTCTCCATACGGTATCGTATGCCTTTTTCACGTCCAGGAAGAAGCAGTACGTCCGCTTTCCCGCCCTCTTTTCTACCTTGGATGATTCTCCCTACCGTGAATGCGTGGTCTACGCACCCCCTCTTCTGTCGGAAACCTGCCTGGCCCTCACTAATGCTACGTTTCTTCTCCAGTACTCCCACTATCCTATCGTTGAACAGTTTACAAAACACTTTTCCTACTGTGTTCAACAGTGTGATACCCCTGTAGTTTCCTGGGTCAGTCTTGTCTCCTTTCTTAAACAGGTTCACAACCACTCCTTCCCTCCATCTACTTGGCGCATACTCGTTTTTCCACACCCAGTTGTACAACAGTACCATCAGCTGGATCATCCCCTTCCCCCCAAACTTCATGAACTCGTTTACTATCCCATCCGCCCCTGCTGCTTTGTGGCACTGCAGCTTGTTCACACACGCCTCAACCTCGTCCTCAGTGAACTCCTTTTCTAGTTCTACGTTCCCAACGTCTGCCTTCGATGTCTCTTCTTCTTTCTGGGCCCATGCGTCCACCTCCTTCTTAAACACTTGGTCAAAATCTTCATTCTCCGAAGGCACTCCAAGTCTCTTGTAGTGTCCTGCTAGAACTTCCCTTTTTCCCCTTCCACTGCTGACTAGTCCACCGTTCA